TAGAAAGAAGAGAAGTGTTAATACTGGTGAAGGGAAAGACACTACACAGTAGGTGGTAAGTCAGCACAACAGAACCAAGGCAAAAGAAGGCACTGAGATGAACACAAGAATAAAGGGCAATCACGGTAATTACCGTAACACAGACAACCCTACAATAATAGTATTAACAATAACAATCTTCAAATGGATATATAGGTAGAGAGGTATGCTAAAGTGGAGTGGAAGAGTTCAAGGGAACACACCCACCTGCTGATACACGTTGGGTTGTGGATATTACTACATACACATTTGTAAATGCTGTATGTATATTAATTTAGACAATAGAACACACAAGGGACACAATTATGGAAACTTCCTAGACGTAACCAAACACCTCTTGGGGCAAAGTTACTAGGCTTGAAGGCTGAGGACCAGAGACTCAGGGAACATCTATGTCAATTGACATAATATAGTTCATAAAGACAATGTTCTACATCCTACTTTAGTGACTAGCATCTGGAGTCTTAAAAGCTCGTGAGCAGCTATCTAAGATACAACTATTTGTTTCATCTGGGCCAGAGCAAAGGAGAGTGGAGAAAATGGAGAAAACCGAAGACTCAAGGGAGCAATTAATCTAAAGGACTAATGGACCACATGAGCTATAGCCAACATGACCCCGAGACCAGAAGAACTAGATGGTGCCCAGCTACCACTACTGACTGCTCTGACCAGGATCACAGTAGAGGATCCCGGGCAGAGCAGGAGAAAAATGTAGAATAAAAATCAAATCCATAAAAAAGACTAGACCTTGGTCCCACCACATCTGGAGCAAGGGAGAATCAAGAAAACAAAAGATACAAGGGGAAGATTAGTTCAAAGGACTAAAGGACCACAACTACCACAGCCTCCAGCAGACTGAGTCCAGCACAATTAGATGGTGCCTGGCTACCACCACTGACTGCTCTGACAGAGATCACAATACAGGGTCCCAGACAGAGCTGGAGAAAAATGTAGAACAAAATTCTAACTCACACACATACACAAACACCAGACTTACTAGTCTGTCAGAGACTGGAGAAACCCCAAGAGTACGGCCCCCCCACACCCTTTTAACTCAGTACTGAAGTCACTCCTGAGGTTCACCCTTCAGCCAAAGATTAGACAGGCCTATAAAACAAACAATAGCACACATAGTTCAACCATGTATACAAGACTAAATGGGCACACCAGCCAAGGAGCAAGGATGAGAAGGCAGGAGGGGACAAGAAAGCTGGACGAATGGAAATGGGGAACCCAAGGTCAAGAAGGGGAGAGTGTTATACGTTGTGGGGTTGGTAACCAATGTCACAAAACAATATGTGTATTAATTGTCTAATGAGAAACTAATTTGCTCTGTAAACTTTCACCTAAAGCACAATAAAAACAAAAAAAAAAAAACTTGTTCGTGAACAGAACCAGTCAAAAAAAAAAAAAAGACCAGGCTTACTGACCTGATAGAGACCAGAGGAACCCCCGAGACTATGGCCCTAAGATACCCTTCTAATATGGAACTGAAGCCATTCCTAGAGAGACCACCTTTCAGCAAAACAATAGACAGGCCCACAAAAGAAATAATAACACCCGAGAGGAACAAGCTCCTTAGAACAGTTAATTATATGAGACCAAAATCTGCGCAAAAGCAAAGACAAGCAGGCAGGAAGGGGTAGGAAAACCCAACGAAAAGTAACGGGGAACCCAAAGGGGAAATAGAGCGCTGAAACATTGAGGGGACTGCTACCAGTATCTTAGAACATTCTGTGTACAAATTGTTGAATGGGAAACTATTTTGCTCTGTAAAACCTTCACCTAAAACATGCACACACACACACACACACACACACACAGTAGTTTAGCTTAACTTGTAAAAAACGTGTGCCTTGAGCATTACGTTTTTTTAAGAACTATCTATATGAGATTAAATTGACAACAGCAACTCAAAAGATTAGATAGGAATCTTAGGGGGGCACTAAATTTATGTTAATAGAGAGGAACAACCCAGAAAACAAGGGTGAGAACAGTTACACAACTGGAAGAATGTAATCAAGGTCACTAAATGGTACATATAGAAACTGTTGAATTGTATGTTTTGCTGTGTATTTTCTCAACAACAACAACAAAATCAATAAAATTACGTTATATAAAAAAAAGATAGGGAAGTGTAACTTTGCACCCCTAAAGGTATATCCACCCCACAGACCCCCCACAGGGATGTATGCTGTAATAGAAGCAAAGATCCGCTAGGTGGCTCTGTCATTTTTAAACAAGACTATCATATCCATTGCTGTGGAGTTGATCAAAGGCGACCCACAGGATTTCCAAGGCTGTAATCTTTACGGAAGCTGACTGCCACATCTTTCTCCCTCTGAGAGGCTGGTGGGTTTGAACCATCCAGCTATCGGTTAGCAGCCAAGTACTTAACCACTGCACCACCAGGGCTACTTTAAACAAAACTAAAGTCCGCAAAAGATAATGTATAGGCAAGGAACAAAACATCCCTACTAGGCATAACCTTTAATCAAAGCAAGAAACAATAATCTGCAATCATAGGTTCCCATTCATAATAATTTGGAAGTGCTGGTTAAAGAATTAGGCTTAAAAGAGAAAACTGCAAAACTGCAAGCACCTACCAGATTTTTCAAAGTATGTATGGGTCAGCAAATTGCTCAAAGATAAGGGAAAATATTATATTCTTAAGAACACCGATGACTCAAGGGAAGATGGTATCAAATTTTTCTTAATTTATTGCCATCTAGGTTCCCAGCTTTTCTTTTGAACTTTCTCTTTTTCGTTTTGACCTTTAAATTTAAGAACAAATATTAAACGTGGGCATTAAAAACTCGTTGCCATCCAGTCGATTTTGACTCATAGCGACCCTATAGGACAGAGAAGAACTGCCTCACAGTTTCCGAGGCTATAATCTTTACTGAAGCAGGCTGCCACACCTTTCTCCCACAAATCGGCTGGTGGTCTTGAACCACCAACCTTTCTGTGAATAGCTGAGCGCTTTACGTACTGTGCCACCAGGGCTCCTTAATGTGGACATTATAACTTATTAAAAATCACTTTCCAATATCCTGGGTTATGGTAGACATCCTACATACTAACACCCTAAAAGAAAATTATTTACTTCCTTTCATGCCCATATGGGAAGAAAAAAAAGCAACTGTGTTGATGTAAATTAAGAAAGCATTTAGATCCTTAAACTAAAACACAACTAAGACAAACTCTATACACTCTACTGCATTTGCCAGGAGACTGAAAGAAATAGGGTGCTTTAGGGAGTTGGTGATAATTCCTTTCTAGTTTCAGAGAAGACGACTAAATAATTACTATGGAAGCATGATTTGCATCTTAGGTGCCCAAATCTGCTTATTAAATATCTCTGGATTTCATTTTTCAAGAGGTGAGATACCAGAAAATGATCATTTCTGCAAAATACTTAACTACTTTATCATGAAAATAAATGCCCCGGGAAAGAAGTTTCCGAGTTACTAAATATTCTGAACTGTCAGTCTGTGATTGGCAAACAGAAACAAACAAACAAACAAAAAAAAAACTTGTTTTCCTCCCCATCTCAAATGAGAACCTCAGACCTGGCACTTATTAAGAACACATTTAAGAACATTCTTAATTGTAAAAGAAACAATTCTCTAATTGCTGTTGCTTTGAGCCAATGAATATGATTGTGTGGCATGTGGGATCGTCACAATATGTTACTGTTTTGTTTGTTTTTCCAGGCAAGGAGCCGCATTTGAAAGGTTTCAAAAGCAGAGGGCAAATCATACCATAATTCGACCAGCCCGTTTTTGTAAACGAGCGCTTATTGCACAGTTTAAATTACAGTGGGCTTTAAAATGCTAATTCCAAAACCGCTTGATAAATGTCTTTGAGAACATTCACGCTTTTGTTTTTGAAGACAACACATCACACCAAAAGACCCTTTAGACCGGACATAAAAATGAACAAATGCTTCCCGAATGCGAACGAATATACAGTTTGCTTAGAAGAATTAAAAATTCGTTTGAGTCCCTCCGATCACAAAATTCCCGTCGAAGAGGAGACACACCAGGGGTGCCCGTTAATATACTCTACCGTATACCAAAAATTGTGTCAATCATGTTTATTATTTGCGACAGATCACTTCAGACCGGACGTGAATCCTGCAACTCGATCACAAAAGGTTTAGAGGCTTGAAGAAAAATCAAAGAGGGGCTAGGCAGGTGGCCTGGGAGGGGTCATCGAAAGTTAACTTACAGACTTTTTACAAAACGTTTGTACTGTGTTGGATATCTTCCCTTTGTTTTAGTATTCGTTATTTTATTATTGTGTACAGAACACGTTGGCTAGGCACCGGGTGCTTCTAGCCTTAAACCTAGAGGCCAGGTCTCCTCCTACCTGGGCTCCCAGGGTAAGGTAAGGAGGGGCTGCAGGGGCCCGGCCAGCGAGAGGGTTTCCGCGCGCTCCGCCGGGAGAGCGCCGGCAGGTGGGGCGTGTCGGGGGCGTGGAGAGTCCCCGCCCGTCGGCCGCCGCCCAGCCCGGGTGCCCCGCCGGGAGGAGCCGCGCAGCAGACGGCTATAAGAGGCCGCGTCGCAGGCGCTCCGCACGCACCCCGTGACCCCGCCCGGCACACCCGCGTCCCCGGCGCCGAGCGAAGGCCGAGGAGGGGCCGCAGGATTGGCCCGCCAAGGGATGCTCTCGCCCGAGTGGGGAGGCCAGCCCCGCTCGCCCCTCGCCGCG